GGAAAGTGACCTGAGATGACATGATGTGAAATGAAGCTCTAGAAATAAACTGAATTAACCTGAATTAGAGAGAAATGTGCTGCAGTGTCAGAAAGCTTGGTCTTAGTTGCAGCTCATGGCTCTTCAACAGAATCAGGAGCCAAAACACAGAAAGAGCCAAGAACGACTGATCCAGGAAGCTTTTTCAATTCAAAAGTCCACCAGCAGACTGAGAGGAAGATATTTGACTGTTCTTAAGGGGCCCCTAGGAGCCCTGACCTCAATCCTACTGGGAATCTTTGGAAGGAGCTGGAACAGGCCGTCTGGTAAAGGCATCCTTAAAGCTGAGACACCTGGAGCAGAATATCTGCTGAGGGGCGCAGAGGTCTGACTGACTGATGGTAGGGATCGACTGTAAAGGTTAGGGAACTAAATATTAAACTAACATCATTTTATTTCAGGCCTGTTTTATGAGTTTATCTTCTTTAATCATTCAGTTGAACCCAGGTTAAAAGAAGATTGTCTTAATTTCTTTTGCTTATTTGCAGATAATTTCTGTCTGTTACTTTGATCAGATTCAAGTTATTTCTGGATTTTTCTTTCATTAAACAAAAAAAAAAAACAAAAAACAAATTTTTTCCACTCACACACATGCAGTAATGGGTTCCTTTTATTAATATTAAATAAAATGGACGCCAATGAAAGGCAGTAAAACAGTGGAGGTCATGTCGGGTACCTCTCTGCGCAGAATGCAGTGAACCATTACGATTACAAAACCTTCCAGTGAATCAAACACTGCAAAGAGAATCTGGAAGAGGGCAGAACGCCGGTCAGTGATGGCCAGGACAGCAGACATCCATGTGAGGGCCAAGAGAGGCAAAACCACACAGGAGCTCCACAGTGACGCCCTGCAGGACACCAAGAGAACTACAGTCACCCTGTGGTCAGCGTAAAACACAGCTGAAAACTTTCTATTCACTTATTTATATTTTAGTCTTTTACATAAAAACAGGATAGTCAAAAATACAGAAGATTAATTTCCTCCTTAAAAGAAAAACATGAAATATTACTGCATAGAAATATTCTAGGTGATTATCAAGCCTGTTGCTAGCAGTTTTTACATGTGTAAAAATACATTTATTTCTGGTACTTACAGACAGAGTATTAGGGCCAGGCTAGAGATTTATTTATTTTTTTTAAACACAAGAATAAAGTCAGAACTTTAGGAGAATAACATCATAATATAACATCAATGAAGTCATAAAATTACGAGAATAAAGTTGAAGATTGTGAGATTGAAGTCATCAAACCACAACCTGTTTCAGAAAGAAAGCCTCAAACTCCAACCAGCAGGACTAATAGTTTGATGCTGGCGCTAAAAGACTGACTTTATATTCTTAATTTTGACATTTTATTCTAATAATGTTGCGACTATATGATCGTAAAATTACGACTTTATTCTGATAATGTTGCGACTA